GTAGCAAAAGGAGGGAAGTAACTGACTTTGCAGTTCAGGAGCGGAGATCCCTGGGACCATCAAGGGAGAAGAGCGGAGAGCGGGACCCTACCCAGAGAAATAGTGATACCAGAGATGGAGGCACAGGCAGAGACAATGACGCAGAGAGATGGAGCGGCTGAGGACTCTAGACCCAGAAAGGGAGAGGGGCTGTGTGCTGACGACTGAGGGGCAGGCTTATGGGGTATACCCTTTGGTTGGTTGATGATGCATCCAGGGAATTGTAATCATGGCAATGAAACAATATACAGTAGGATGAATGTAAAACTAATATTCTCCCATGTAAACTATCACATAATTCACAATGAAAACTTAAAAAAAGAAGGGAGGATGGTGAAACTTCATGTCACGTACTTTGGGCAAGTTATCAGGTGGGGAAAGTGTCTGGAGAAGGACATCATACTCGGTAATGTAGACAGAGAAAAAGGCAAAGACCCTCAATGAGATGGACTAACAAAGCACCTGCAACAATGGGTTCAAACATAGGAATGATTGTGAGGATGGCCCAGGACCAGACCATGTTTCCTTCTGTTGTAGTCAGGGTAACTAACTATAAATAGGAATCAACTTGATATCACCAAATAAATATCCATAATGTGAGACCTGAGTTATATAAGAAATTCGAATTCTGATTGTATGTGAGATTAACGTAGGGAGTAAAAGACACATTTAACAGAAAACTGAGACTCTTAAATATGATTGTAAGATATGATGCAGAGAAAATATTGTTACATCTGGACTGAATTTCAAATCCCAACAGTATCCAGAGGAAATGGGTCATTTTAGCAATTATTTGTTGTTTTCCACTCTAATTTAAAGGAATGATGAATTTCATCACAGGATAATGTACAAACTTGGCCAGATTGCAAAAGTTGGATTGCAAAAGATTAACAAATCAGCAAGATCTGGGGTCTGCAGTGCAGTCTAGTAACATGGGATCAAGTGCATAAGGTCTACTCCACATTCTAAGGCTGCAACTTCCTTCACGTAAAATATGAGCAGCAACCAGTAGTATACAGTATTGCACGCTCTGTAACACTCTCTTAGGGTCCCTTCAAGCCATCAAATACAGAGACAAGAGAGAACACGAGACAAACTGAGACAGCACACAGCGTGTGCAAGGGAGACGCACTGCACAGAGTGCCT